ACACACACACACACACCGGACTGACCAAGGACCCCTGGTTCCTTCCCATCTTCACTGAGACCGGGAACCACATCAGTCCTTGCGCCTGAATGAGACCATTTCAGGCCCTGGTCCTATAGTCAGTCCTACACAAGCCCTGCCTTGCAGCAGCAAGTTCTTCTCCTCTTCAGTGAACTTCGGCAAATGCTCGCCCAGACTCTCTTTCAACAACTGGCAGCAGTTGCCGAGCCGATCTAACAAAGTATGATCGAATAAGACTCAAACTTGTGCAGAACCATGCAACAATTCTTGGGGCTCCAGGCAAAAGAAGTTAAAAGTTGAAAGATGTTGTCTCTTGGTTCAAGATGCATTCTTCACCTCCAAATCTTCGCAAGCACAGGAGCACAAAGCTTCTTTTGGGATGTGTATAGTTTGAGTCTATCCGACCAGGGCCCAGTGGATGGGGCCTGGTTGCAGGTCGATATCCATCTCCAAAATAGTGATTTGCTTGTTTACTGACTGTTACAGGTAAGTTCGGACAGACCCGTAGTCTGTCGTTTTTTTAATATTGTTTTAAGATGTTTTAAGAAGGTCTCTTCCTTGGAACGTCCCAGAGAACGCAAGGCTTTGGACCTGGGTCTGGACGTCCGCAGCGCTTCGGCTTCGGCGAACCGGCCGCGTCCGCGGCCGCGGCCTCAGGGTAGTCGCCCTTGTAGACCGGGTCGGCGAACCAGCCTGTGTGGAGGAAAAAGTGCCAGGTGGTGCCCTTGTGTGTGGGGTCTTCTGTCAAAAAGAGTACATAGAGGAGTGATCCGATGATCTCATCTTCGGGTTGTGCAGCTGGTTGTTCAATCATTCTAAACTGATAGGTACACTCAACTTACTCAAAAAGAAGCTGGTCTAGACATGGATCTTTTCCCCCTCCAAACTCGCTTCGAATCCAAGCAAAAACACGGACTTCTTCGCCCTCTTCGCCCTCCAAACTCCGCGTCGGCCTACGCCTTTGACGGCGTCCGCTTGCACGGCGTCCACGTCGTGCGGGTTCTCGGGATCCTTCGGGAAGGGGAAGTCGTAGTTCAAGACCAAACCGATCCTCAGCACCGAGTGACGCGTTTTGTAGACAAGACAAGAAGAGACCATGGCATGGGGCATGGGCTCCTGAGGTATCTGGGACCCAGACACTCCATGTCTGTCATATATGCCTACATTGACCCCTCAAGCCAGCCACCTCAATGTAGACAAAACCATATTATACCATCATCAATTACGACATGATATTACATGGGTATAGCGGAGGGTCAGCCACCTTCATTTCCTGCCTGCTTTCGTCGCACCCGTCAGTTTCTCTCTATCCGAGGGGTCGGTGACGCCATGCTCCGTGGCAGAGGAAGGTGGCACCACCAACTCGTCACACGAGCGACTCTCAGTCTGAGATGGTGAGTTGCTCGTGTCCATTTCTGTGTGGACGTGTGCACGTGCGGACGTCGTCCCATGCGTGGAAGAAGGGTCTTGTTGTACGATCCTGCGGACGTCTGACGTGATAACACTCACACGAGAAGCCACACTGATACAAGACGCATATATGTCCAATAGCTTCTTGCTCCTAGTAGTAAGGCCAGGAGCCCCTAGTAGCGTTCTTGTTCCTAGTAGTAAGGCCAGGAGCTACTAGTAGCGTCCTTAAAATGTCCATCAGATCATACGTCCAACGGTACCAGTGGACTCTGCACTGGGACTCAAAAGCGCCCGGAACCTCATCGGAAGGGAGCTGAATCCGCCGTTTTGGGACCCAAACAGGTCCGTTTTGTTCACAAAAAGACCCCTATCCAATTCGAACAGGAAGATCGGCGATCGAGCGGCATTGCAAGCGAAAAAGCAGGTCGGTGTCCGCGAATCACCTGTAACTTGACAGATGCCCCAACAGCTCATGCATCTGGTTTTGACACTACTTACTTCGAGTATCTTCGAGTTATCTCCACCCTGAGAGGTATTTGGAAGAAGGGAGGGCACATGTACTGACAAACAATCCTGACAAATAGCCCGGCAATGCCCGGCATATTGCCGGACATGTGAGCGCAACAATTTTCTGACATCTATTTCTTTTGCAGCAAGTCTGGCGTTCACGCTCATCTTCAAACGTGTTCCGACATATGTTGTTCCGACATCTATTCTAGGATTTCTTTTTGGGTCAAGTCTGACATGTGTTCTCACATATCTTCTCACCTTCTGACCTTCTGACATATCTTCTCACATACGTTCTGGCACCAAGTCTGGCATGTGTTCTGATATATGTTGAGATATTTGTTCTGATATGTGCTCTGACAGATCTGGCATCAAGTCTGGCATTCATCTGCCTTCCATCTATTTTATCCAGATGGGTCCGACCTATGAAGGACCTGACCTAGGTCCAACAGGAACGATAGGCATCTTTGTTCCACGGTGTAGGATCAAGTACACTGCGCCTGCGCCTCCTCGCACCTGAGCTGCCGTAGAGCGTCCCATCGGCCGCCCCTCTTCAGGCGACTTGCCACTTGCAAGGCTTGGGAAATCAGGGATGACGGCCGCACACGGCGTGTGCGACCGCCGTGTGCACACGCCGTGTGAAACACCAGCGACGACCGATCGCCAAGCAGGCGTCGAGACGTGAGGCGCGACCGGTGAGGATGAAGAAGAGACGTAGCGCGGGTCCCGAGAAGCCAAAGAATCCGACGAGAGACATGGGAAATGCTCAAAGAAACGCCGGGGAGTACATGACACCGAGTACACTGGTCACTAACAAACTAACATGTAATACGTGGAAACATGACTCTTTTTGTTGGAGACCTGTCGTCTTTCAAAGGAACCCTACAGATACCTTACTAGCGTCCTTGTTACTGGTAGTAACAAGTGCCTTACTAGTAGTAACAAAAAGCTATTAGAATTAAGTTAATTCTAAATCTGTCGTCTCTCATTACAGAGCCCACCTTTCGCCGCACCGAGCCGACACGGCCGACGGGCACCGTCGTCCGAGTGGCTTCATGCCCATGCGGAAGTGTCTCCGGCGGAAGAGGTCCACCACCCGGGCGTGGGCACGTAGGACCTGAGGCGAAAAGAGGTTGACACTCCCAAAGCCACGAGTCTTCAGACTGCCACATCTATATCAGGTCCAGCTTAAGAGACACAAACGCTCAACTTCCAAGAGGCCTTTCGAATCCACAGCATGCAAAACCCTTGAACCATTTTCGCTTGCTGGTTCTTTGTCAGCGCAGCTTCGAGCAACAGGCGCACAACTGCCAAGCGGCCTTTCCAAGCCGCAAACACAAAGCCGTTGAACCATCTTCTCTTGCTGTTTCTTTGTCAGCTCCAGCTTCCAGCAACAGGCGCACAACTTCCAAGTGGCCTTTCGAAGCCGCCACAGCCAAACAAGTTGAACCATCTTTTCTTACTTCTTCTTTGTCAGCTCCAGCTTCGAGCAACGGGCGCACGACTTGCAAATGGCCTTCCTCAGCAGAAGTATACAAAGCCGTTGAGCCATCTTCTAGTGCTGCATCCTTGTCAGCTCCAGCTTCCAGCAACATCCACACAACTTCCAAGTGGCCTCTTGTAGCCGCAGTATACCAAGCCGTTGAACCATCTTCCCTTGCTGCATCTTTGTCAGCTCCAGCTTCCAGCAACAGGCGCACAGCTTAAAGTGGCTTTTTGAAGCTGCAAGACACAAAGTGGTTGTACCATTGTCTCTTGGTGCATCTTTGTCAGCTCCAGCTTCCAGCAACATCCGCACAACTTCCAAATGGCCTTTCGCAACCGCAACATACAAAGCCCTTGAACCATCTTTTCTTACTTTTTCTTTGTCGGCTCCAGCTTCGAGCAACAGGCGCACGACTTCCAAGTGGCCTTTCCAAGCTGCAAAATACAAAGGCGTAGAACCATCTTGAGTTGCTGATTCTTTGTCAGCTCCAGCTTCGAGCAACAGGCGCACAACTTCCAAGTGGCCTTGTGCAGCCGCACCACACAAAGCCGTTGAACCATCTCCTCTTGCTGCATCTGTGTCAGCTCCAGCTTCGAGCAATATCTGCGCAACTTCCAAGTGGCCTCTGTCAGCCGCACGATGCAAAGCCGTTGAGCCATTTTCGGTTGCTGATTCTTTGTCAGCTCCAGCTTTGAGCAACAGACGCACAACTTGACTTCCAATTGGCCAGTCCAAGCCGCAGCCTGCATAGCCTGTGAGCCTGTCTCTTTTCCTGCATCTTTGTCTGCTCCAACTTCCAGCAACTGGTCAACGACTTCTAAGTGGCCATTCCCAGCTGCAAGAGCCATAGCTGAAAACCCGTCTTCTCTTGCTGCATCTTTGTCAGCTCCAGCTTCAAGCAACATCCGCACAACTTCTAAGTGGCCTTCAAAGGCGGCAATGTGAATTGGTGCATTGCCGGGTTATGCATTTGTGCCTTTTCGATTTGGATCTTGTGGTTTCTGAAGCAGCTGCTCAAGTTTGCCTACATCATTCTCTCCACATGTTCGAAGCAATTCTTCCTCTACTGCCTCATCAGGAGCACAAAAGTCAAGGATCACCAACTGCACCCTTGGCGGTGGCCTCAATTGCATGTCACTCCGAAGAGCCTCTGCCGAAACCGCGAATATCCAATTCGTTCTGCCAGGAACTGCTTGAGGTCCCTAATCGTTTGTCCTTGCTCCACCATGACTTGGAGTTCATCTTCACTCACCTGGGCGACAATCTCGCCAGAGAAAGCTGTTGCTTCCATGTGGTCGCACGGCCAAGCAATCAGGCTGCCGTGAGGGTATCTAAGCTGCACAAAGCGAATGAAGCGGTGCCCCGTATGGGGGGGCTAAAAATAGTCGCATCCACAACTGTATAACTGTTTCTTGCGTTGTCCCTAACATTTGTGGCGGATGAACAGCTGAGTTCTTGCGTTAACTGGTCAACTCAAATGACCATTGCTATTTCGGGAAGTGACATGTCTTTTATGCAGCTCAGCTCAACAATTCATTATATTCATTGATTGGGCAAGCCAAAGCGGCGGACCAGCTCAGCTGAACCGACGGCCCGGCTCAGCCAGACGGCTCAGACCGATGAGTGCAAAACTGAGACCGTCTCACCAAGTGAGGAAACTCTCCAACCTGGAAACCGGCCAACGAGGCCGTGGTTGGAATGGAAAACCAGAAATGTCGTGGTTGGAATCCAGTTTGGAGTTGTAAAGACCATGTTTATATATACCACGGACAACCAGTCTCAACCAGAAACAAATGGATGTTCCCCCAGTCCCAGCCATTTCCTATGTAAGTAAAGGATCTCAAGAACGCCTTGGGTTCCAACCATTTGTTTCTGGTTGGGACTGGGGAAACCCAGGAAGTCACGTTCCATTGAAGTCAAGTGAAAACGACCACCTGTTTGGGCAATTTAGGACTTTTCGAGCATGTTCCACTTCCTGAAAAGACAAACTTCCAGCGCCCTCCAACAGGTCACCACCTGCGACTTTTAATTGTGCAAAAGCCACCAGAGGAGACCTGTTGGAGGGTCCTGGTTCTGGGTGTTTCTTTCGGCTGAACTCGGGAGACCAGCGAATCGAATCGAACCTGGAATCGTCGTCAACTGCGGAAGATCGAACTGGGAAGCAGAACATGCGGATCATTTTGGTACGGATTTCAATGGTTCCAAAAGGGGCAGCGGAACTGAGAAGCTGTGATTGTTCACATGTTTTTTTTGAAATTCCCCTCAAAGTATGGTCTAGTAAGCATAAATCATCTGAAAAGCAATAAACACAACAACACTCTCACACATGTCCACCGGACGACGAGAAGGAATACCCAAACTTGCAACTTGCGAAGGTCGCAACCAGGACCGTTTCAACCAGTCCCGGGAGGTCCCGGGCGGCAGCCGCTCGTTGTGATGTCGGGAGCCGCACGTTGTGTCCACACTGGTATTGCAGGTACTTGGACTGCTTCCCTGGAGCATGCAGGCCTCACACGAGCGCTTTCGAAAGGCCTCACACGGTTCGTCTCGGTGCCCGGAGACGAGCGCCGAGCGACAAATACGTTGTATAATGTATATTGTAATATATATATATATTATACATATATTATAATGGCGTATGTCTTTAGACAATAGAATAAAGAAACAATTTGCTCTTTCTATATCAGGAAGCCCAGGAAATCCCCAAATCACCAGAGCCTCCATGCGTCAACCCCCCAAACCTCCCAAAAGGACCGGAATGGAACAGTGTCTCATCCGCCAACCGAGCTTTCCGCGCCTAGGGCATAGCCCATGGTGCAAAAGGTCCAAGGCTCATTGAAGGTGGACCACCAATCCACCTGTCGGAACGGGGCGATGCGTCGCGCACATTTGGACCTGGAAGGCGGAAGGCGACTTCCAACGGCCAAATCCTTCAAAGGAGAGCGAAACAATAAATGAATTAAGTACACTTATATAATTGTTGTATAAATATACATATGTTGTATAACCATATCATATGATCTTCTTGTTTCTTTTGTCAAAGTAGAACGAAGAGAACATTCCTCGTGTGGTCTTGGTATGTCTTGGTCAGGGATCGTAGGTGGGTTCTTATTGAATGCTGAAGATCCAAGGACCTAACAATTGTCAGTGCGTAGTTGTTGAGGACTAACCACCAGGCAAGGAGCAATCGTTGCTTAGAGACTTGAATTGATCCTCGCAATCGTTGCTTTATCGTTCCCGACCGAAGACCCCTATCGATTATCCTTCTTCCAGGATGCCTGAGATGAAACTAAAGCCGCAAGTCATGCAGCTGACTTAGCGATTGAAATGATTGACTTTTGAAATATACAAAAGTGCAAAATGCAGTGGATTCCAAAATCCCAAAGTGCAAACACCCCTAAGAGTTGATCCCTCCGCTGACTCCGGCGTGTTGCTTTCGTCATAGGGTGAAAACAGACATGACGAAAAAAGAAACGGCCACTTGTTGCTAGTAGCTTCTTGCTACTAGTAGCGATGCCCTTGTTACTAGTAGCTTCTAGCTACTAGTAGTAATGCCAGGAGCTACTAGTAGCTTCTTGCTACTAGTAGCATGCCCCCTTGTTACTAGTTACTAGTAGTAATGCCAGGAGCTACTAGTAGCTTCTTGCTACTAGTAGCGATGCCCCCTTGTTACTAGTAGCTTCTAGCTACTAGTTGTAATGCCAGGAGCTACTAGTAGCTTCTCGCTACTAGTAGCGATGCCCCCTTGTTACTAGTAGCTTCCAGCTACTA